GAACAGGTTGGCTATGTCTGCGGGGAGCCCGTTGTCAGCATTGTCCAGCCGCCTGGCAATTGGTGGGGAGGTGGCTTCAGCTGCTGCTGCGCGAATCTTTGCGTTGAGTAGCTCAATGGCGTCCTATACATCCCGTTCAATGCAGATTTCGGTGTTGAGGTTAATACTTTCACTCATCTGTCTCTGGAAGACACCGAGATCAGGGCGTGCGTTGATCAGTCTGGGTACTGCGCTGACCACCCTGGCCCTGGTCTCCAGGGTAATTTCAGGGCCAGGTACCGCACGCTTTGTATATTCGTTGAACCACTCGCAGCCCTTATAGTTAGCAGGGTGGTGCAGTGGGAGCATGTTGCCGGGACTGTGTCGGGCCGTGTGCAATCAGCAGTGTGTTGTTTTCCACAGTATGTGGCCGTGTGCCCGTACTCCTGACATCTATGGCATGGCACCACGTCCTGACTTCTTTGAGCAGTCTCAATCTTGACCACCTGCTTGCACAGCTTCCTGATGGTAAGAGCCTCCTTGTTGTTGGCCGCCGGCTGCAACTTAATAAAGTGAATATTCATGGGCTCCTTGGTAGCTTTGCTGCTCGGATTGTGCACGAGTCGAACGGTGTGGCCCTGGCTCCGCAGGACGTCGATGAGCTCTCGGTTGAGTGTTGAGTGGTGGAGGCCTTTGACTACTATGCGGTAGGGCTTCTCCTCCTGCAGCTGGTATGAGTAGAACTCAATTTTATGTTCTTCCAGTATCTGTATGATGGCCCTGTATTTGGCACATCATTGGCTAGGAGTTGCATAGTCCTACCTAGGTTGGATTTGATGGTCAAGCTATCCGCTACTTCGGATAGTATGAGCCACACGTCGTTGATGTCGTCGATGCGATTTAGGACGATGGGGGGTGACTTCTTTCCTCCAGTGGGGCCATTGTTGTTGGCCCTTTTTTCGTGCACGGAGGAGCTGGTGCTGGCATGGGCGACAGCGTTGGGCTGGCTGCCGCCCCCAACCTGAGGAGTCGCTGAAGCATGCAAGTTCTCTTCTTGGGCTGAGCTTATCTGCTCGGCCTCAGATTCGATGCGATTTAGGACGATGGGGGGTGACTTCTTTCCTGCAGTGGGGCCATTGTTGTTGGCCCTTTTTTCGGGCACGGAGGAGCTGGTGCTGGCATGGGCGACAGCGTTGGGCTGGCTGCCACCCCCAACCTGAGGAGTCGCTGAGGCATGAAAGTTCTCTTCTTGGGCTGAGCATATCTGCTCGGCCTCAGATTCGTCAGTCTCCATGTCTTCGTCGTTATCGGATGGTGCCAAGAGAGCATATCTATTGGTGGCATGTATGCGAACTGGATTGGTGTCAGTCTTGTTCGGTTTTCGCCACGCGGCAGGTGAGTATCAGCTGTCTAAGGCTTTGCGCTTATCGTTTTTTTTTTCGGCTGCGATTGAATCAGTCCAGCCGCGGCTGCGGCAGGTGAATTGGGTTTGACGATATCTATTATACGCACTAGGGCGTCAATGGGGTCTCTTTTCACACTAGCACCAGCATGTGGGCTGCTGCCAGAGTCATCGGAGTCCATTAAAGGGTAGGAAGGTGAAACTGAAGTACTTCTTGCAGACATCAGCGCGGAGAATTTATTGGTAGCTTTTGTTAAGCGGCTGTTAAGCGTTGAGTTACTCAGCGGCGTCAGCATTTAGTTGGCCTACCTTGTTAGTTCGAGACGCGAGCCCTTGTTACTCATTGTGGTTGCGTTGCTGTTCTCAGCACTCACTGGAAATGTTGGCTCTATTGGCATTGCCACTGGCTTGGTGCATGTCAGCACGGCAGCGCAAACGTCTTGCTCAATTTTTGGACCACCTTTTTTCGGCTTAATTTTATTTCGTTTCACTTAAAACAAAATGCTTTGTCAGCAAGTAGTTTTGTTTTAATTTTTGTCGTTTCTGTATTTTTTTCTTTCTGTTTGTTATTGGGTACCGATACTTAATGCGTTGCAATCTTTGTGCGGGATTGCAAAAGCAGCGTTAGGCCGTTTGGGCGAGCACTCGAATTTTGATTTTTAATTTATTCCGCGAGCACGTCCGTTCACTTCGAACACCACAAAGTGTCTTGGATTTTTTACCACTTCCAGCTATTGCAGTTGCACTTTGGTTAAGCAATATACATAAGTTTTCTCTATTTCACTTGAGCTTAATCTATTTTCTATTCTTTTAGAGGGCGTTTCAATGCAACTAATCACATTCGGAGCTAATGCGAAAATGTTTCAAAAATCGACACCTAATATGAGCCTCTGCTTTTTTGTTAATATAACATAAAGCTGCATAGGTTTTGATATTTCTTTATAAGCAATTAAAACCGTAGTAACCCCAACAACCTCGTTATATTTTCCATCATCGGTGCTCATGTGCGATTTGAGAGGCTTAAATATAGATAAAGCAGAAATCTTTTCCGTAACCAATGAAGCACCAATGCAGCTCATATTCGCACCGATATCTAATAAACCGTGTTCCGTAAACTGCAAATAGGACACTTAAAAATAGTGGAAACTAATAATTTACCACATTTTTTCATTTGCTTAAAATAATTTTTACAGTGCAATGCATTTCTAGAACCTAATGGACTAATTTCACTAAAACATGTATGTCTAATTTCTAAATAATTTCTCTGTCGCTCGTAATAAGGACGAAAATTTGGAAAGTCTCAATGGTTACAGGATAAAAGGTATCAGCGGTACGACTGGTGCCTGCTTCTTGAGCAGCAATTTTTAAGTGGTCAGGAGCATCCGGTTGTTGATGGACACACCCTTTTGCCGGTTTTCCGACAGGCGCTGAATGCATGTCTTGTATTGTGGCTGGAACACTTTAATAGTTCCACATCCGTAGCAAAATATTCAAAGCAAGACAGTCTTCCCACACATGTACCTGCAAATTGCAATTCCAACAGGTTAAGTTTGAGTGGCGAATAGCGGCGAGCTCCTGTTCCCCACAAACATCTACTGCTTGGTCTACTTTTGCGTTAAGTTAATCCACGGCATAGGTGTGTCGTCGCTACAGTCCCGGATTTGTTCTGGGGACTCCTTTAGCGCAACCATTTTGCTCATTTACCAAGTTTTCATGCATTTGCAAAAATCTACGTAACTGAGCTACTGAGTGCACTAGTTGACATAGTAACTTGTGGCTTCTGGAAGCAGATTGTTCTTCGAAATTAAGATCAACTCGTACTCTTCTGTACGAACAGAAGATTTATCAATAAGAGAAACCACCGGGTGTCTGCTTACGCGAACGTATTTGCTCTTTACTTGTAAATTCTGAACGATAATCTTTATATTGCTGTCGTAAGAAGGAGCAAAAATATTCCCAAATAATACGCTCCACTTGTTTGTGGTATCGCCAATACCATTCTCGAGCTCTGCCTACGAAAGGGACAATCACATTTTTGCACAAGGCATTGGCAGATGGAGATCTACATCTAAAGTTGCATCTGTGCACACCTTTACACGATACATGAATTTATCCACACTTAAAATTAAAATGGGAGAATTTTTACAATTGTTAAGCGACCCAAATCCCAGCTGCCTGACCCGCCTGTTTTCTGCATCTGCTTGCTGAAACAGGTATTACAATAATGATTTTATTTGTGTCAAATGTGCTGTAGACCTTCCAACTTCGAAGTGAAAAATGGCTACCAAGAATGCGAATTGCAATTGTCTTGTTTATCTCAGAGAAATTTCCAGGAGACAACGAACAATTGACTACCCATTGAGGAGCAACTTAAAACATGGCTCTTGCCAATTATTTTGTACGAGGCACATGTAGCCCGTTTGCAGACCGGTTTTGTGCATGATTTATGATACAGTCTCAGTGAGAGGTCAGTTGAAAGGTTGCGTGCTTCATTGATTCCTGGTTGACTTATAAGCGTGGTACATTTGGCGAAACGCGCCTTTAATGTATAAATATCAACAGTATGCACCGCAGAGGCTTAAAAAAGTCCACCATTCCGTGATCAGCCAAGAATCCAGTGATCCGGCAGATGTTGTCGTTTCTGGTGCCACTTTGGTCTAGAAATAGTCACGTAGCTAAAATGCGTATTTAGGAGGGCACTGTACCGGTCGGAGGTGGTAGATGGTTTTGAAAACCGATGGAATATTTAGGTCAGTGAACAATGGCTTGTACCCAACATAATAGAACTTACGCACTATTGTCATGCAACACAGCGACTTAGCGGTAGTAGCCTAAGCACGTCTCAGTATGGTCGCCCATGAAGTGCATCTACATGAAATGCTCCAATTTAGCGTTGGGAGCACTATAGCCTTGAAGACCCTGACCCTGCTCCCCAGTCTAAGGAGAGGAGGGTCCTTGACGTAAGCAGCCTGTCACGTGTCACACCAAGGTAGATGACGCTGTCAGTGCGCCCGGCTCACCATTGAGGGCGATATTCCATTGTAAAGCTCGGCTCTCGATCCCGTTGGGCTGCTACCAGGCGGAATAGAGCGCATTCCGGAGTGGGCTTCCTTTACCTCCACAGCGAAAAACCTGCCTTCCAGGAACAGTTCTAGTACCCCCTAGAACTCATCGGGGTGTACTGGCATGAGTTTATAAATGAGACCTTAATGCCAGACCCGGTCAAAAGCCTGTCGAACGTTCAGAAAAAAAGGCGGCATGGTACTTCTTTCTCACGAAGGAGCAGAGGATGTGGATCCCAACACGGTGGACCTGCTCATCCGAATAGGTGGTCGGGTACCACTTTCTAGCGCTTAATACGAATACTTTAGCAAAGGTGTTAAGTAGACTTATGGGCCTAAAAAAGTCCGTGCAGTGTGTCCCCATTTTTGGCCCTATGACCAGGGCACGCTTCCAAAAAGCCGGAAAAGGGCCAACATCGAGGAACGCATTGAAAAGCCGACACAGCTGCGAGACGATAGCGTTGGGGAGCGTCAGCAAATCGGCAAACTCCTGTATATATTTGAAATATTAAAACTATGTTCAAGTATCCATGTACGTTAAGTAAACAATAAATGGGTTTACTAGTAATTCTAAATTTAATTTTCATACATATGTAAATCTTTTTATTTCCTTAATTTAAACAAATTTATAAAAATATCAACAGATGTTAATAGCTTATAGATAATGATCCCATTTGGCCAATACAGCGTCCCTCTTCATCGAAGCTGGCTAAGGTCAATCGAGACAGCTTATTGCATAATACTCCGTTGCCATTGTTTTGAATAGGGTTTGGTTCTGAAAAACAGAAAAACTTTTTTAAAAATTCATTTTTCGATAAATTAAATGAATAATAAAATAAACTGCGTAAGTATACTTAGGCACTCATAGAGACTCAGATGTAAAACTGTACACTTTTTAACATAAAAAATTGCAAATGTTTGAATACCGTTATATATATTTAAAATTTTTTTATTAGTTTTAAATTTGTTTAATGAAAGACACTATTGGACGGTGATGGCAAATTTGTAATAAATACACAATTGATATATTTCAAATACCTTATGATCCCATACAAATAACAAGAGGACCTAGAGCAAAGCTGATATGAAAGCCACCACCTACAATCTTAAGCAACGTGTCAGTCTTTTCCAACTTTAGCAGATCGAACAGACGAATATTGTAATGGAACTTTTTTTTTCAAAAATGTATTTAGGTTGGGAGATTTATAAGAGCAGCACATTGAACTTAAAATATTTTATTGCACAATTGTCTCCAATCGATGATGTTATTGCTGTGCAATACCACGTTTGCCGATATTTAACTTGTTATTTTTAATACATACCATCAGTACCTCCTCTATTCAACTGTATGTTTGTAGCAACAGTTATAGTTTGAGATGTACCACCGCACCTATCAAATCATTATTGTGACAATTGAATTTAATAGATTATGTAGAGTGTTTTCACATGTAAAAATTCGTAAAATCAAATTGCAATTCCACTTTGCAAATGGTGTCAAATTTTTCGTCAATGACAAAATGATTTTCGTTCCATGAACAGTCCCTCTATTGAAAGCGTAGCGAAAACGAGATATTGAGGAAAAGGTTTACTCAGCGAGGATATCATTTTTATTGTCTCGATGCCGTATACTATATTCCATGACTAGAGACCCATCAGTTCTGATGTTTTATTAATAAAGGAGCAATTTACTGTTGTAAAATTAACAAAGACTGGCTAAAATTTGTATTATCAACAGTAAAAACAATGCAATTACAATTATCAGAATCAGACTTTAAGCTTTACTTTAAGCAAAGCCATATTTCCAAACTGGTGTCAATTGCATAAATGTCTTTTTTGAGTAGGTGTGCGCCACGAGCGTCACCGATTGAATGCAATCTTATTGATTTTAAAAATGTTTTAGTGAACAAGTAAAAACAGTTTCTTTGGATACTTATCGCAGATTCACGATATTTGCCTATACTTGGCCAGACATCGATGTCTTTCTAAATTAAATGAATTTTCGAAGAATTTTTAGGGTTTGATCTACATATATGATATAGTTGTGCAATGTATTGTATTATATAAGCAAAGAGAATCAGATTCGGATTCGCTCTTCGTCGAACTTTATTTCGCTGCGTACTCTGTTTCTTGTTTTTGGTTGAGCAATAAACACCGCTCTATCTAACAGTAGCAACCTAAGTGAAAAGTGTCATTTCTTGTTGTTGTCGCGTGACGCGATCAATGAGATTAAGACCGAGAGATAGACAGAGAAAGCGAAAGAGAGAGAGGACACGACATAATATAGGTATGTATAAGCTTATATAAGCTTATAAGCCTAGGCTAAGCACATATATTTAGAAATGTTTAAAGTTTCTGCATTTAGTTTGTGACTTTAAACCTATTTATACCCTGAACCTATTGAAAATGGTTAAAACGGTATAATACTTATGTGCAAATGTATGTAACAGGCAGAAGGAAGCATCTCTGACCCCATAAAGTATATATATTCTTGATCAGCATCAATACCCGAGTCGATCTAGCCTTGTCCGTCTGTCTGTACGTATGTATGAACGCAGGGATCTCAGAACCTATAGGAGTTAAAGACTTGAAATTTTATCTGTAGGTCCTCCTAGTGCCCGCGCAGATCGAGTTTGTATCCGATACTCGAGCAATTTTGGTAATTAAATAGAGCTAGAGTAACCAAATAAACCAATTTACATATGCTGCCCACCAATATAAGCCACAAGCTTAATGCAATTTTGAGAATAGACGAATATTTTATAGAACAGTAAGATCTACAGCTGAAAATTTCAGCAGGATCGGTTAAGAAACACGAAAGAAAATGTGTTTTGGCTGCCCACGTGTTTGCGACAGCTAGCGAGAATTCCAAGAATTTCTGTGTACATGTACACACACACATTCATGAGCTTCTTCTTTGAATTCTATTAACAGCATTTCAATTACGATTGTATTGTATTCTGTGCTGCTATTATAATTCGTTTTTTACTCATCAAGATGTAATTTTTGGTGTGGGTGTTGGGTATAGGCGGCGGCAAGTAGTGCGGTGTGTTGCGAGTTCGAACCCTACTGAGGAAACTAATTTTTTATTTATTTTTGGCTGGTATTGCTGTTGAGTAGAGGCGGCAGCAAGTCATGCGGTCAGTTGCGAGTTAAATTAAACTAATGCCACTGTGATTGTTGCGTGTTTCTCCGTCGTTCCAAAAAGACAGCGCGTAGAAACAACAACAACACAATTTGGGGCTAAATTGTTGTTGCAGATCCGAGACCCGGCAAGTAGGTAGAAAATTTTAATGCCGGCAGGCCATGACATTCAAATCAAAGGGCACCAACATCAGATATTATGACGTCACATTTCAAAGAATTTAATTTCTTGTGTTGACTAGTATATATTCCAACCTTTATTATGTACATTTAAATAATTTATGAATAGGATCTTTAATAGTAACTAATTTATTGACATATATATGTAGTAATGCGAAGTACGAAATGATCGCATACAAAAAGCATTGGGCTGTGACGTCACATGCGCAACAGAATATTGCAATCTTCTTAAATTTAAATACTTCCCTTGGCTTGGCAGACCCATACAAGCATATATTTTACCAAAATGTGTGAGATGAGACACACATACCAACAACTATTTGGCATCGAGGCATTGATACCCTTATTTATAGAAATGGTATAGAACGTTTAAAGAAAACAATTATAATTGATTGCACACTATCTACGAAATTATATTTTTCTCAGACATTGAATCAAAAATTGTATATAAGAAGGTTTGTGCTATTTAGTTACAGCACTGATCAATAGTCAAAAAACCCTATTTAGAGAAAGGGTGGTTTGCTGGACCGAAAATTAAATATTATAAAAACTGCTTGGCTGCTTGCAAGTTGAATGCGACTGGAGAAGAAGAAGACATGACTTTGTGACTTTGAGAATTTTAGGCATAGCAGTGCTTAGAAATCACAACAATGAGTTGGAAGAGTGCAAAAGCTGAGATCATAGGCTGTAGCCTCAAACCAAAAAGGGGTAGCAAGGACAGAATTTGGGGTGTGCTTTTTATACCCTGAACCCATTAAAAATGGGTAAAAATGGTATAATGTATTTGTACAAATGTATGTAACAGGTAGAAGGAAGCATCTCCGACCCCATAAAGTATATATATTCTTGATCAGCATCAACAGCCGAGTCGATCTAGCCATGCCCGTCTGTCCGTCCAGCAGTCCGTCCGTCCGTCTGCATGTATAAACGCAAGGATCTCAGAAACTATAAGAGCTAGAGACTTGAAATTTGAGCTGTAGGTCCTCCTACTGCCCGCGCAGATCGAGTTTGTCTCTGATATTCGATAACTTTTCCCGTTTCCAAGTAATCTAAATATAATAAAAATCGATATCGAAATACTGTTTTTTGAGCAAATTGTAAATAATTAGAGCTAGATTCACCAAACTTCAAATGTTGCTTCTAGAATAGTATATATATATATCAGTATCTTTCATTTTATACCTATCGCCACCTCCCCGCTACCACCTAAAAGCTATAAATCAAGTAAATAAACCAATTTACATATGCTGCCCTCCAATAAAAGCCACAATTTAAATGCAATTCTGAGAATACACAAATATTTAAAGAACAATAAGATCTACTGATGAAAATTACATCAAGATCGGGTAAGAAACACAAAAGAAAATGTGTTCGGCTGCCCACGTGTTTGCGGCAGCTAGCGCAAATTGCAAGAATTTCTGTATACATGTACACTCACACATTCATGCACGTCTTCTTTGAAATCTATCAACAGCATTGCAATTGCGATTGTATTGTTTTCTGTGCTGCTATTTTAATTTGTTTTTTACTTATTAAGCATTAATAATTGTTGTGGCTGTTGAGTAGAGGCGACGGCAAGTAGTGCGTTTAGTTGCGAGTTCGAACCCTGCCATGTTTTTTTTTAATTTATCTTTATCACTAAAGCAAACGAGCGCGTAGCGCAAGCTGCATTTGATGTTGGAAGAAGAGGGTTCAGGGTATCCTCTAGTCGGGAGCTCCCGACTAGAACCTCTTACTTGTTTTTAATTGTTGATTCTTTTGTTTTGAGTATGGTTGTTGTTGGTTCCTATAGAAAATGTTCTGAAGTTGTCTTTGAATTTTGGGCAGCGGCAGAAGTAGCTGTAGACAGCCGGGTGTTGTGTTTCCTATTTGTGTTTGAAGCCTCAGTATCTTGCACCAAGTATTTTGAAAAAGAGTTTTTGATCCAAAAGCCGCCTCTTTATATTTATTACTCAATTATACTGAACGTTCGGCTTTCGAGGCTGGCGTTTGGCTGCCACTCTCAGCAGTCTTACTCTATCTGGACAGACACCCATGGAGCTCACTCGTTGCCATTTATCGTGTTTCGATTATTCTGCTGTTTGACATCTCTATGCATTGTATGGTTCACCACTAACCACTCAGGGTGTCCCCTAGTCGGGAACCCCCGACTATAGCCTCTTAATTGTTTTAAGTTTTATTCTTACCATCATGATATTGTTCAGCAGGATTTCCCTCTTGTTTCTTTTTTCGCATTTGCTCCGTGAAGTGAGAAATAAGAGCGTCAATCATAGCAGCTTCCTTAGAAAACAGTTGTACTAATTTAGATATTTGTATTCCATTTTCAACAGCGTCAAACTAAATATAAAATCAAATGAGTGAAATTATATTATTTATAATATTTTTCTCAATTTTTTTATTAACTAACCTGTAAAAATATGCATGTGAGACATTCTGAATCCTCACTAGCGCTTGGTTTAGCATAGTCCCATGACATATCTTCATATCGAAGTCCCAATAATAGCGTCTACGCATGTAAAACGTATAAAATGTACGGTTTTTAGAAAGTTAGATTCATCTAGACGAGTATGCCCGACGAAGAGATATCCTGTACCCAGATCTAAAGAACAGTAGTTACTTGTATGTATTTACACGACATATCTTCATATTCATATTTACTCAACATATCTTCAAATAAATCGTCTACATATACTAATAATTTAATTTAATTAGCAAAAAATTGACAACTTGGAGAGCTGACATACGAGCGTTGGTATTTGTAGCTTAAAGGAACTATAAATTTCAAGTCGTAATTATCGGATCTTGAAATTGATATTAACCGGTTATAGAAAAATGTGTAAAACTGTCTGTGATCGATACGTTCATATGGCTGTTTAAGGTGATCAAGAATATATGATCGAAAATGCCTCCTTCTGCCTGTTACGTGAAATGGTATAACTCGACTTTTTCATACAATTTACATGGAAATAATTGAAATTTTAAAGCAGCAGTACATGCCAAAGAATACTTACGTTTTCAAAGCAGTCTATTATAAAAACTCCTCTCTCGTTTACAGCAATTAATACCTCCATATCCTTATTGTTGACTAAAGACATAATACCTCTTACAGGTTGTTCCATTTGTCCATGAAAAAATGCTGCACTGCAATTAAAAAAATATAATAACAAAAAAGCTTTGCACGTATTTCAATATAAAGATAATATTTTTGGCGCAGATCTGCGCTTTCAATAATAAAATTCATAAAAATGTTGAAGTCTAGTGTAAATTAAGTTTAGGAGACAGAGCTGAAGGCTCACTCCGAGCTTTTTTACCGTTTTAAAAATCCCGAGAGGTAGATCGGGTTGGTCCGCAAACGCAAAATCCAACTCAAAAATAAAGCTCATTTACTATAGGAAGCAACAACAAATCACTCGCAAAACAACAACAGTGCGCACGAAAACCCATTTGTTTTTTTCGTCGTCCGTCTTGATCTTCAAAAGTTTCTGCGCGATGATGAGGACATAGGAAACTCAGTGCAAAGAAAAGGGACAAATAATGCCACTGTGTTTGTTGCTGGTTTCTCTGTCGTTCCAACAAGGCGGCGCGTAGAAACAACAACAACACTATTTGGGTTCTAATGTTGTTGTTGCATAGCCGAGTCTCGGCGCAAGTAGGTAGAAAAATCGAATGCGAGCAGGCCATGCCATTTAAATCAAAGGGTTACGCATACGGCGCGTCAACATCATATACTATTACGTCACGTTTTAAAGAATTTCATTTCTTGCGATGCTTAGAATATATTTCTATCTTTATAACGTACATTAAAGTAATATATAAATAGGGTCTTTTATAATAATGCATGTATTTAATAATGTATTACTTTATTGTACGCCACGATCGCACACAAAAAGCCTTAAGCTGTGACGTCACATGCGCAACAGAATGTTGCAATCTTCTCAAATTCATATACTTCCCTTGGCTTGGAAAACACATGCATGCATATTTTTTGCCAATGTGTGTGAGATGAGACACACATGCCAACAACTATTTGGCGCGTCGAGGCATTGATACCCTTATTCAGAGAAATGGTATAGAATGTTTAAGGAAAACAATTATTATTGATTGCACTAATAGTTGCACACTAAATACGATATTATATATTTCTCAGAGATTAGATAAAAATGTTTATATGAGAAGGTTAGTGGTATTTGGTTACAGAACTTATGAATAGTTAAAATACCCTATTTTGAGAAAGGGTGCCTTGCTGATCGAAAAATGAAAAATGATAAAATCTGCCGGGCTGCTTGCAAGTTGAAAGCGAGTGGAGAAGAAGAAGACATAACTTTGCGAATTAAAGGCATAGCAGTGCTTAGAAACCACAACAATGAGTTAGAAGAGTGTAGAAGCTTAGATCATAGGCTGTAGCTTCAAACCAAAAAGGGATAGCAGGGACAGAATTTGGGGTGTGCTTTTTTCATTGTCGAGTCGTTTGTTTTGATTATGGTTGTTGTTGGTTCATATGGGAAATGTTCTGAAGTTGTCTTTGATTTTTGGGCAACGGCAGAAGTAGCTGTAGACAGCCGGGTGTTGTGTTTGCAATTTTTCATTGAGTAATACTCAATTGTGTTTGCAACCTCGCTATCGCTCGTGAAGTGTTTCGAAAAAGAGCTTTTGATCCAAAAGCCTCCTCTGTCTCTTTATTACTCAATGGGGTGAGGCGAGAGCGCAATAAAGCTGTGTCATTCACGCTGGGTGCGAATTTGCCTCGATTCGCCGCAGTAGCTTAATTTAGCCTTAAGAAGTTGAAACGAGTTTAGTTGTCTTATTATAACGAGATCATTTAGCACGAAGCGCACAATTTCGAGTTCTTTTAAATCCACCAAATTTTATACATAATTATATAAAATCAAATAAAATCACGTCGACCGGGAATCATTCAAAATGAATTCATTCTGCTGCCATTGTTAGAGAATCCCAACGAGTATGGCTGAGAATTTTTTTTTATTTTATTATATGAGTGGTCGACAAAACGAGTGTTTTCCTAACCGACCGAACCTAACCGACCGATGGAGGAGGATGTGGCCCTTTTCTTGAAAAATAAAATAGTTTTCCACACAACAACTCAATTTTCGACCAATCGTTCCTATGGCAGCTATATGATAGCTGACTACTACTACTATCGGATTACTGTCCGATGTAAATAAGATTTTGCATAAATGGAGGGAGCATAGTAAAATTAATATATGCTGAGGTTGGTCACGATATCTTGATAAACAAAAATGTTTTCCATACAAAAATTTCATTTTCGACCGATCGTTTCTATGGCAGCTATATGATATAGTGGACCGATCTTAATAGGGTTTTGCATATATATGAGGAGCATAGTAAAACTAATAAATGCCGTGTTTGATCAAGATATCTTGAGAATCCAAAATGTTTTTCATACAAGAACCTACTTTTCGACCGAACATTCCTATGGCAGCTATATGATATAGTGGTTTGATCCAGCTGGTTTTGACATATGTACTGCGCGCAACAGAAAGAGGCACTTCTGCAAAGTTTCGTAAAGATAGCTTTAAAACTGAGAGACTAGTTCGCATAGAAACAGACAGACCGACAGACGGACATGGCTATATCGACTAGGCTGTTGATACTGATCATGGATATATATACTTTTTGGGGTCGGAGATGTCTCCTTCTATGCGTTACACATTTCACGACAAAATTATAATACCCTCTGCAAGGGTATAAAAATAATAACAAGTAAGAGGTTCAAGTCGGGACCTCCCGACTAAGGCATACCCTAAACCCTCTTACTTCAACACCAAATGCAGCTCGCGCTACGCGCTCGTTTTCTTAAGTAGTAATAAAAATTCTTTAAAAAATAAAAAAAGTTTTTTTTGGCAGGGTTTGAACTCGCAACTGACCGCATTAATTAATGCCGCCTCCACTCAACAGCCACATCAGCCAAAAAAAAAAGAGTTTCCTCGGTAGGGCTCGAACTCGCTACAAATTGAGTTTAAATAATTGAGTTTAAATGAGACGAGAAGGAAGGGCTATTTTCGGCACGCCGAAGATTTAATCCGCTATCAGACCCCACCTTTTCATTATGCTCATATCTAAGAAGCACAGGGAAAAAAGTTAATGCCGAGTATGGTTAAGATGTCTTGAAAAACAAAAAAGTTTTTCATACAACAACTTAATTTTCGACTGATCGTTCCTATGGCAGCTATATGGTATAGTGGTCCGATCTTAATAGAATTTTGCATATATATGAGGAGCATAGTAAAACTAATAAATGCCGTGTTTGATCAAGATATCTTAAGAAACAAAAATGTTTTTCATAAAAGAACTTACTTTTCGACTGATCATTCCTATGGCAGCTATATGGTATAGTGGCCCGATCTTAATAGGATTCTGCATATATATGTGGAGCATAGTAAAACTAATAAATGCCGTATTTGATCAAGATATCTTAAGAAACAAAAATGTTTTTCATACAAGAACCTACTTTTCGACCGATCATTCCTATGGCAGCTATATGATATAGTGATTTGATCCAGCTGGTTTTGACATATGTACTGCGCGCAACAGAAAGAGGCACTTCTGCAAAGTTTCATAAAGATAGCTTTAAAACTGAGAGACTAGTTCGTATAGAAACAAGGGTATAAAAATAATAACAAGTAAGAGGTTCAAGTCGGGAGCTCCCGACTAAGGCATACCCTAAACCCTCTTACTTCAACAACAAATGCAGCTCGCGCTACGCGCTCGCTTTCTTAAGTAGTAATAAAAATTCTTTAAAAAATAAAAAAAGTTTTCTTTTGGCAGGGTTTGAACTCGCAACTGACCGCCAACAGCCAACAGCCACATCAGCCAAAAAAAAAGAGTTTCCTCGGTAGGGTTCGAAATCGCTACAAACAGCCATATCGATAATTGAGTGTAGTGTGTATATGTATTAAATAACACCCTGTACATAATTATGCGACACTTTGTTGCATACAATAACAAACATAAAGCCAAAAGCGCAGAGCCGCTTGAGTTTATTGACTCAGGCTCATATTACGCAGCGCGGACCGCTAGTACTCTAGCTGGCCGTTTAGCTGACGGCGCATATCCCACGCTTGGCTTATATACCAAGAGTACCATATATGTACTCACTAATGCATGCACATACCACACACTCTCTCTCTTTCAATTATGCTCTGCTGCGACAGAGCTTTACATATAATAATACCTATATCTTAGGTTTTGAAGCGGACAGAGTTCCGAATAAAGAACATTCAAAATATGACTATAAACCAGCACTGACGTGCAGCGTGAACTTTTATTTCTACATGGCGACCGTGACAAGTGTCACCCAACGAGGGAATATTCTATACAACATATTCAACTACAAGAACAACACTAACAAGATGGAACAGCAGCAGCAATAACAACAGCAAATAAAACAAACAACTATCCAAAAGGAGCCGTCGCCTGGCAACGACGCAGTCCGGAAACAAAACAACACTTGGTATGAAAAAAAAAATAAGTTTTGCATTCAACATACACCCACCAAGCTCAGCCACAATAAGCCGCAACGACAATATTAAAAGGAGCTGCAGCTACAGCAGCAGAAACAATAACAGCAACAACGTCACATGGCAAACAACGAATCAGAGACACCGACGTTCGCAGAGGGAACACCAATAACGCAAACGGATGCACCATTAATCAAGGAAGTGTTAGAGACTAGCCTGCGAGACGGACCCAGGCCTATCACTATAGAGGAGTACAAGAAAAGGACTGCTGCGAGGGAGCGTCAGCGTGCCAGCACCGGCGACGCCAAGCTGACGCATAGGAAGCAACGAGGAGGCGAAAAAGCCAAACTCATCAACAGGAGGCATCTCGTCATCGCGCTGTTGAAGGCAAGGGTCGAGGACAAGACCCGCCAACAGCGACTACAGGAGGAACTGAAGCAGATCAACACCCTGTTGCAAAACAGGAAGAAGCGGACTAACAAATGTTAGTGCCTCGCTTAAATTTTTTTAAGTACCCATCTTGCGCTTGCGCTAGGTACGAAAAACTAACACATGTCTCAGTTTAAACAACTAACAAACACTTTGTAGTGTAAACTTAATCTAAGTAATATATTGTAAACTTGCCATTTGCTAATGTAAACT